CCACCAGAGCTCCTAAGAACTATAATATGGGATCAAATTGACAACAGTAACCCAAGGGATTAGATGAGAAGCTTAGGGGGCAGTGAGTTTATGTTAATGGGGGAGAAACAGTTCAGAAAAGGGGGCTTGAGAAGGGTGGCCCAACTCGAAAAATGTCATCAGTATCACTGAATGGTACATGGAGAAACTGAAATTGGTGTATGTTTTGCTGTATATATTCTCAACAACAACAAAAGAAAGAAAAAGAGAAAACTGCATGGAGCACAGTTCTGCCCTGACACATATGGGGTTATCTTGAGTCAGAGTAGACTCTTCAGCAACTAGTTTATTAAAAAATATTTCTCTAGTCCGCCCCTCCTGGTCTTTTGTCTCATCTTCTGCAGTAGCCTCTTACCTCATTTTCCCAAACTCCATCTCCACACTCCTTGCAAAGGTGATCTTTCTGAGGCACATATTTCATCATGTCACTCCCCTGCTTAAAACCCTTCAGTGGCCTTTCTGTTGCCTCAGGATAAAGTCTAAATTCTTAACATGGCATCTGACACCGTCTGTGGCCAGGTCCTGGCTCCCTCTCCATCCTCAGTCCTCGCCACTGCCCAGTCAGTGCCGTTATTCCCCACTCAGACTTTTCCAATGCACTTCCCCCGTACACAACAGACACGTAGATGCCTCCATGCCTTTGCTCGTGCTGATCCTCCTGCCTCAGACTTCTTCCCTCTCTTCCTGTCTAATTCTTACTTGTTTTTCAAGATACAGCTACAAGACCCCTTCCCATATCTTTAGGCTAAGAATGGGTGGCAAGTGCTTTCTTTGTAACTTGTACTTGTTCCAGTTATTAATAACTCATTATAATAGGGATGCTCTCCTTAGGTCCCCGTGTCTTATCCCTGTCTGTATGCCCAGTACCTGTCTCACTGCCTAGCACACACTAGATACTGAGAGTAGGCAAGGCTTGCACTGCACTGAACTGACCACTGACAGAGAGCCACCCATGTCTCTGTGCCTACTTGCCACCCGAACTATGAGCCCATCAGGTTGGGCTTTCGTATCCTTAGTTGTTTTGGGTGAAAAGACCACTTCTGTGACATTTTCCTAGCAACCCTCCTCTCAGAATCCTGGGCATCTAGGATCCTTTGCTCAACAAAACCTCTAAGGTGCTATCTTTACCCTCCCTCCCACCACCAACGTACGACGCAATTTGGGAGGCCACTAGACACTCCCAGAAACCTTCCTGTCAGCAGGTCTTCCTTTTCTCCCATGGGATCATTTTTTCAAGCAGCATCATGCTTCCAGTTAAGGCAGTGTGGGCCCCCGGGACTATATTCCCTGGAAGAAGGGGGTCAATTACTGAGTCCTCAGAGCATTTGTCACCTTAGTATCTAGGGTAGTTGTGTGTGTGTGTGTGTGAACGCACACACACTCACAAAATAGCTATTGATGTTCAGTCAATTCCAACTCATGACGACCCCATGTGTTAGAGTAGAACTGTGGTCCATAGCGTTTTCTTGGCTGTAATCTTTATGGGAGCAGATTGCCAGACCTTTCTTCTGTGGCGCCACTGGGTGGGCTCGAGTCATCAAACTTTAGGTTAGTAGTTGACTGCAGACTGTGACACCCAGGGCATGTGTGTGCAGGCCCCTCTGATTTCTCTGTTTACACTGATGATCACCACAGCATGGAGACCGGGGCTGCCCGCACCAAACCTCCCTTGTCATATGGGCACTATGAGTCGATTTGACTCTAGCAGTCTGTCCTTGGGTTTCCAAGGCAGTATCTCTATGGAAGTAGATTTCCCAGTCTTCCTTCCAAGGAGTGGCTGGTGGGTTTGAATCACCAGCCTTCTGGTTAGCAATCAAATGACTTAGGCACTATGCCACCAGAGCTCCTTTCAGATTGAAGGTGTACTGGGTTCACATATCCCTAACACTGGAGACTCTCTGAAGGGCTGTCTCTGCCTCCTCTCTCTCCATATGGGAGTGGTGCTTACACAACATTGATCCTGACCCTGACCTGCTGGTTGGGATCTGTCTGCTCTGAAAGACAAGGACAAGATTTGAGGAAGGGAAACCTCAGACTTGAACTGCGGTGCTCTCTGGGATTTACCAGAAGATGTCACTGCAGGCTTAAACGAGGGGGATAAATTAGGTGAGGCCTGTCAGTTAAGCATGAAGGTGACTCCATAATGTGAGTTTAAAACACCCAGCAGCCTCCAGTACAATTCATGCCTGGAAAAACTGGTTGAAAGGTTAATCCAAATGTGTCACTGAACTTAATGAATTTCTTTTTTCCCAAATAATCAGACTAATTGCCACTACACTATCACCTCAGGCCTAGCATAAAGGCTCAATAAATATGTACTGAATGAATGAATGAATACCACAACTAGGAGTAGAAGGAGGGAGCCCACTGGTCTAATAGGCACCTTTGTTGATAAAGGCTAGAAGGGAACAAAAGTTGCTACTCTTTGGCAATGGGTTTTTACAGAGATGAAAATTAGTGACATCAGCAAGGTTAGGTCCTAGGAAAAGACGTGAAATAGGTGAAGGTGGCCTTGGACCCTCTCCATCCTCACTTCCAGATGCTTCTCCTGTGCCCAATGCTTATTTACTCCAGAAAAAAAAATATATAAGGCTATTAAAAAACACAATGCAACAACATTGCTGTGATCTTTTTCATAGCACTTGAAATACTGTGTAATACGTATATATGTATATAATGGAGCATGACCTTCCCAGGTCTCAACTCCCTCTTTCCTGGCCCTCAGAAGAGTTCATTGAATAAGCAGCGAGAGCAGTTGTTGAGCTTCTGCTCTGTGCCAGGTGTAAAGGCTGAGGTATGAAGCCGAATGCATGGGATGAGAGTTCTAAAACAATGAGACAGAGCCTCCGTCCTGTAAAACATAAGGGTTAAGTGCTGTAAACTTTCACCCAAATCACTATTAAAAAATAACAAGCGTTTAAGAGAAAATGCAAACAAGTGATTACAGTTCCGTATCAATAGTGTCTTAACCAAGGCCAAGTGTGGAAGTGCTGTGGTGACATGGAGGAAGAAGTGATGGCTGGCAGCAAGTTGTTTGGGGAGACTGTTTAAAGAAGAGAGGCACTTGAACCAGAACTTGAAGGATGAGTAGAATTTGCCAGTCCGAGTAGAGGGAAGGTCATGCCAGGCAAAGGGACACCATGCACAGAATAGAGACATTTCTATCCCAGTGTGCCTGAGTTACTGAAAGCCCAAGACTTGCAAGAAATGCTTTCCCAGAGGACATTAGCCGACAGACTCATGCAGCTGGTTACGTAGATTCTCTCTGACTTCACGTGCATGTGTATTGGACCTCCACTTCCTCAGATGGGGTCTTAGTCTCCTAGAGCTGCCACAACAAAACACCACAAAGTGGGTAGCCTTAAAGGACAGAAATTTACTGTCTCAAAGGTCTAGCGGCTGGGAATCCGAGATCAGGATGTCAGCCATGTTGATTCCTTCTGAGACTCTGAGAGAGAAGCTGTTCTATGCCTCTCTCCTGGGCCCTGATAGCTCCAGACATCCCTTGGCTTGCAGCTGCAGCGTCACATGATAGCCCTCCTCTGTCTCCCTGTCTCCATGTATCTTCCCTTTGATAAGGACACCATATAGGATTAGACCTACCCTACTCCAGTATGACCTCATGTTAACCTAACTGCTCACATCTCCGAAGACCCTATTTCCAAACAAGCTCATGTTCACAAGCATCAGAGGGTAGGACTTCAGCAGATCTTTTGGGGAGACGCAATTCAATCCATAGCAAATGGCAATGAATAGAATGCAGACAAGTTGCGAGCCAGCCCCCGAGTTTCCTTTGTTGAAGAAGCTAAATGCTGATGCTTAATGATGATGGTTGTTTTCCTTTCCCAGTATCCTATTCCATGACCTCATCCTTCATCTGCTGTACCTGAGTGGAAGCATATTTCTTATTAAAAACATAACTTCAGGGTGATTTCTCTCCTTGAATGTGCCTGATCACATCATATACCTCAACGTTTCTGGTGTGTGTGCCCACTGTGTATGTGAGTGAGTATGTGGGGTGTGGGGTTAAAATGTTTGCACGTCCACTGTTTGGGCATAGAACTTTATCAGTCTGCAGCTCGGAAGAAAAGATAGCCACACAGCAAAGCCTCCACACTCATCATCAATCCAGGTGTCCTTTCAGTGGGTAAAGAAAAGGAGCATTTTGGGGCTGATAGGGTTAACTCTCCTATGCTAGGAGTATTCTGAGTAATATGAGTAAATGCTGAAAACCAAGGTAGTAGCTTAGATATATGCCGTTGGCAGCTACTATGTCTATTTCAGTCGGTGACTAACCACAATGTTTATTTCTCGAGGCCCTGGGCTGCTCTGCCTATCTCTACGTTCCACTCCCATAATGTATGAGCTGTGATGTTATGCAGCCAGAACCAGAAGCTTCATAGCAGGCACTCTTTCATCTGAGTTTTTGTTTTCTAATAAGATATCTAGATTAGACTGGATAGTGGAAAAAAATGCGTCTATATATTTAGTAAGAAAGATTAGAATTTGAACTCACTTATCAACTCCATTTCACTTCTGTAAACCACTTGCCTCCACCAAGTCTCCATTTCATGATCAGTTGATGAGAGTTTTGGGGTGGGGAGTGTGAAATAAAATGGTGGCCCACTTCCCCAATGAGGCCTTTGGGAGAATTTTGTCATTGACTAGAGGAGGAGAACAAGAAGGAAAGGGGAAGGGTGGAATGAAGAATGACAGAGCCTATGTACCCTGGGCCTAACTTTTTCCTACCTGTGTTAGCTGCTGTGTCAGCAAATTGAGTGAAAGAAGTCGCTATCTGGCCAGACTAGTGGGACAATGAGAGGGTCCACAGCACAGTTCTCAGGAGCAATGCCACCAGATACCCATCATCCCCGCTTGCCTTCCTTACCAGTCATGGACCTCCCTGACTGCGTCTGCGTCGCCCACACCCCTGACTTCTGGTCTTTGTGCTTCATCCATAGGAACTTCCACTACATCACCATCCTCCGAGACCCGGTGTCCCGCTACCTGAGCGAGTGGAGGCATGTCCAGAGAGGGGCGACATGGAAAGCATCCCTGCATGTTTGCGATGGAAGGCCCCCAACCTCCGAGGAGCTGCCCAGTTGCTACACTGGCGATGACTGGTCTGGCTGTCCCCTCAAAGAGTTCATGGACTGTCCCTATAATCTAGCCAACAACCGCCAGGTGCGCATGCTCTCTGACCTGACCCTAGTAGGCTGCTACAACCTGTCTGTCATGCCTGAAAAGCAAAGAAACAAGGTCCTTCTGGAAAGTGCCAAATCGAATCTGAAGCACATGGCATTCTTCGGCCTCACTGAGTTTCAGCGGAAGACCCAGTATCTGTTTGAGAAAACCTTCAATATGAACTTTATTTCACCATTTACCCAGTATAATACCACTAGGGCCTCAAGTGTAGAGATCAATGAGGAAATTCAAAAGCGTATTGAGGGCCTGAATTTTCTGGATATGGAATTGTACAGCTATGCGAAAGACCTCTTTTTGCAAAGGTATCAGTTTATGAGGCAGAAGGAGCATCAGGAGGCCAGGCGGAAGCGTCAGGAACAACGCAAATTTCTGAAGGGAAGGTTCCTTCAGACTCATTTCCAGAGTCAAGGTCAGGGTCAGAGCCAGAATCAGAGTCAGAATCCCAATCATCAGAATCTGACTCAGAATCTGCTTCAGAATCTGACGCAGAGCTCAAGTCAGACAGAGAACCGAGAGGGTCCGAAGCAGACCCCAGGTCAAGAGCAGAGCGATAGCAACACCAGCAATGGCACCAATGACTACATAGGCAGCGTAGAGAAATGGCGTTAAGTGGCTCAGAGAGGCTTTGCCACACTTCTCTTAAAGCGCCAGTAAGAATATGGCAAATCTGCAGAGATGAGAGTGTCCAAACACACATCCTGCTTCCTAAATTTGGGAAGTTCAGAAAAACTTAAGATGTTGCCTTTACAGTTGCCTTTCACTTAAATGCTATACTGTGTGTGGGCAAAACAAATCTCAGTATGTAGTTAAATTGCCTTTTTTTTTTGGTTTGGGGAACTATTTAGGAAATCCAAAAGTCAAACCAGACTCACCAGAAATTGCTGTTTGGATATTTTAAGAGACTCTTAAATTAGTTATGGAGACAAAATGAAAACATAAAAATGTGACCATGTAACTTATGGCTAAGAAATGGACTTTAAATTATTCATGATACACTGTTAAAACCCAACCTTGGAAGCAAACAGTTTTTCCAGGAGTGAGTACGAACAGAACATAAAATAAAGGAAACACAAAACCTTTCATTTTCTTCTGATTTTTAACGAGGAATCTATTTAAATAGAATAACAGCCAATGGCAAATTTTACCAAAGTATAAAAAAAGAATGAAAAATTTCTCTCCCAAACATGGGTGGTTTTATGTAAAAAAAGTATTGGCTTTTCAAATAGAACAGGACTCATACCTTGTTGTTTATCAATGTTTAAGATTTTAAACTTTTTCTACCTTCTACTATTTAAAGGTTTTAAACAGGGTGTATCTTATATGAAACAAAATACTTTTTTTTTTTCTTCCAAATGGAATACCAGTGTTAAGATCTAGTTTCCAGACACTTTCAGGGCACTGTAATTTCAACAATTCTGAAATCTTTTTGGCGCTGCTTCTCATTCATTTTAAGGCTTCTCCAATTTGTGCTCATTCCAAATTAACTCATTTATAGAATCTTTCTTCATCATCTGAATGGTTGTGTTGCTGAATTTATTGTGATATACAATCCTGGCTTCAAGTCGGGAAGCTCTTTCTATAGAATTGTCTTCTCAATGTTTGTGTAGTGAGGTCCTTATCAAGAAACTCTTTAACAGGACAATATGTCCTAAAAGATTACTGAATTTATTCTTGATCAGATAAAAATGAACCTGAATGTGAACTGTTACTTACTTTTTGTACATCTTTATTGTATTACTTCCAGTTGGGCTGGCTATTTCTAGCCCATGAGTTCTTTTTCCTGTTGCCAGACTGTCAACAATTACAAGAGCAAAAGTGGTAGAGTAAGCATTAGGATAGCCAGAGTCCTTTAGTAACACCAAAAGCTGTACCTCAGGATTTGCGGTTAAGCCTCCTACCAGAGTTTGTTTGATGGAGGTACAAAAGGAAAGAATATTCTGCAGAGGAGCACACGAATTGAGGAGAGTGACTTGGGAGTGTAAGTCTATGCAAAAATGCCTTTGCATTCTCAATTATTAGTACAATAAAAAATGTAGTTTATTGTGCTATCTAGCATCATGATTCTGGACAGTTTCTATTTTATAGGTTTTGCTACACTTTTGTAAGGACTTACATTAACCCCAGGTTAATGTGAGGAGACTGGAAGTAACATTTCTGTTTTCAGGAGAGACATGCTGAGAAATGTGACTGTGAAGTCGCATCTTGTACAGTCTGCTCATTTGCATGTTCTATTTTTGTCTGTAATAATATGGCCACAAGCTGGACAAGAAGCTGAGTATTGAGACTGAAAAATGGATTTCCTTGACTCTGTGCTTGTATCACGGTATCTCAATTTTGTTTGGTCTGATGGTATTGCAGTCCTGGGAATTTTGAGAATTGGAAAAACTGGAAGAAAATTTTAAAAAGAAAAAAAAAATCAAACACACCTTGAAATTAGTGTTTTTGAGTGAATTATTTTGTGTACAGTGTGTTTTTTAAAATAAAAACTCTGTATATCATTATGGTATTTCAGTTTTGTTTAGTTTTAACTGAAAATGTTTGTTCTTAACATGGATAGGTACTGTTGGGAAGCAACACGAAGCCCAAGCCAGTTTCCGTGCTTGTTCTGGAAAAAGCATTTTGTGTTATTGCTGTGGTGTGCATGGTTCGCAGAGATCAAGTGCATTTTCTCTGTCTATACTGATTATTGTATATAGGGGATGTTATAAATATACATTTTTGTCATCATCTTGTAAATCCCATGGTTTCAACTGTAAACATCTGTCCAATGGTGTAGCTTTACAAATCCTTCACTGATTTTTGTGTAATTTAACAATAGATATGAAATAAAGTTTAAATTACAGGCTCTGTGTAATTTCATGATTTCAAGGTTTCCAGGCCCTAGACATGTGACATCCCAGACAAGCACAAAATTCTCTTTACTCGGGTTTTCTTTTTTCTCTTGCTGACCAGCCAGGGAAGTGGGATAACTCATTCTAATTCTCCACGTGAAATGGCCTTACTTTTGTGTGCCAGCTAGTTGATTGTGACTCAGAATGACTCTGTAGGATAGGGTAGAAGTGCCCCATAGAGTCTCCTAGGGTGCAGTCTTTGTGAGAGCAGCTCTTTTCTCCTGTGGAGTCACTGGTGGGTTTGAACCGCTGACTTTTTGGTCAGCAGCCAAAGGATTAACCATCATACCATCAGGGCTCCTAAAAAGGCCTACGTTTTGGGTATTTCTTTCTGGCAGTGTATGCTCTTGCCTTTTTTGAGTAAAACAGAGTTGTCAATGAAAGACAGAGTTTGCTATGCAAGGGTGTGAGTGTATTAATTAGAAAGTTATTAGACACTTGCATAGCTAGGAACATGTAGAAAAGGCAAAGTAGTGTTCATTATTTCCTATCCATCCCATATACCCACAGGTTAGAAGACAAAGATTAAGCATTAACATATTGGCTTTTAAAGTCAGTAACAACTTACTCTAATTATATTCAGTGTATACTCTTCTGGTTATGACTCTGGATGGAAGTGATTTGCCCTTGCTCTTTTCCATGGGGAATTTCAATTTCTGGTCCATTGGATCAGAGGGAGGGAAGCCACAAATTAGGGGGAGAGTTAACTATACTCAGCCTGTAAACTATTTGCACATATGAGATTTTTGCCCACCAACTGCTTATTGAACAGTAATTGGGTGGTCAAAGGTCCTGAGGTATAAAGGTCTCAGGTACCTTGAGACCAACTGTGAAAAAGAATAGAAAATATTTAGAAAATAAAGGTTGCGTTCTTCCTAAGAACCAGGTACTGGGGAGCTGATTCCTATTCATGGCGACCCCATGTGTGTCTGAATAGAACGGTGCTCCGTAGGATTTACAAAGCCTCATTTTTCAAACATAGATTGCCAAACCTTTCTTCCCAGGCACCTCAAGGCAGATTCAAGCCTGCAATCTCTCAGTTAGCAACTAAACTTTTTAATCATTTGCAGCACCCAGGGATTTTTCCTCCTCTCTGTTGTTGGGTTCCATTGAGTCCATTCTGACTCATGACAACCCCATGGGTTACTGAGAACTGCCCTATAGGGTTTCCTTGGCTGTCATCTTTACAGAAGCAGATCACTAGGTCTTTCGCCCATGGAGTCACTGGATGGGTTCGAACTGCCAACCATTTGGTTAGCAGCTGAACACTCAACCATTGTGCCACCAGGGCTCTTGTTTCTTTTTCCTATGAGAGAAATGTGGGGAAAAGGTAGAAGACCTGCACTTGGCCTCAGGGCACAATATCAGGGTTGGCTGCTAAGGAAATGGGCTATTGAGGTAGCCCAGAGAAGAACTATAATGAAGAAAGAATCATTTGCCCAGTTCCTAAGGACTTGAGTAAGATTCTCAGTGGGAGTTACAGCCAAGTAAGAGCAGGACTACCTTTGGTGGTGGGGGATGGTCTAAAAGAGCTATCACACTTACAGGGAAGGCTTCCTTCCATGGGGGGGGGGGGGGAAGAGTAGCATTAAAGGGCCATGGAACAGGCTTGGGACAGCTGCAATCTCACCATGCCTAAGATTCTCATTACAAAGCATGCAGCCAAGACAAAAGAATAGTCTGGGTTGATTATGTGCAAGCCCCAGCTTTCTTGCACTGTCCTGAAGACATAGTTGCTGGCACTTGAAAGTTGTCAAGGTGGACTTTGGGGTGGGATTAACATTTTCAGTGTAAGTGGCCGTCTGCAGTGGGCGGGAATTCCTTCTCTCCTGCCTTCACTAGGGATTAAATTAAGCAAACAAACCACAATTGAATGTTTTTTTTAGAAAAGGTTAACAAGAAGCACAGTGCATACTGACTCCAAATATAACCCCCCCAAACCAAAAAAACCAAACTCACTGCCATTGAGTCGATTCCAACTCATAGTGACCCTCTTTGGGTTTCCAAATCTTCCAAATCTTTGCAGAAGCAGACTGCCTCATCCTTCTTCCACAGAGTGGTTGGTGGGTTTGAACCACAAAACTTTTGGTTTGCAGCCAAATACCTTAACCACTACCCCACTAGAACTGCTTACCGCCCCCCCTCCAGGATTATGAAATAAGGCAATCTTAGTTCATTAGAAAGGACTCCTGGTAGTTGAGCCTTTGGCTGCTAGCCAAAGGTTGGCAGTTCGAGCTCAACCAGCAGCTCTGTGAGAGAAAGGCCTGGCGATCTGCTCCCGTAAAGTCTACAGCCTAGAAAACCTTATGGGGCAGTTCTACTCCGTCACTATGGGGTCGCTGTGAGTCAAAATCGACACAACAGCACCTAACAACATGACTTTCTCAAATGGCAAGAATGAGGTGACATGGCGTTTTTGAATATCAAAGGAATTGGATCAACAACGCAAAATTTCCCAAGTACATTTATAACACATTACTCAGACCTTCACAAATGTGCAGAGCCCTCAGAATGTCAGGAGAAAATGATCCTGAAAACATCACAAATCAGCTGTCTCTCAGTGCAAATCGCCCTACTCTGAGCAGTTAGAGCAGGGGTGCCCAAACTGCGCCCTGGGGCCAAATCCAGCCCTCTGGCTGGTTTTGCAAATAAAGTTTTATTGGAACACAGCCATCGCCGTTTGTTTACGTATTCTCTTGGGTTTGCTTTTTCACTACAGGGGCAGAGTTGAGTAGTTGTGACAGAGACCATATGGCCCCAAAAGCCTAAAATATTTTGTATCTGGCCCTTTAGAGAGAAAGTTGGCAAATCTTTGAGCAAGACAGTTAATCGAAATTTCCCAAACAGTGAGAATTTGGAATCGTTTATTATGACTGCAGAATCTGAGCGATTAGAGGAATGCGACTCAGACAACCTATTTCCCATTAACAAGACACAACATGAACAACATTTACTGAGCACCCCTGTATGCAAGTCACTGCGTTAAGCCTGAGGAGAGAGGAGAACTTGATCTTTTTTCTCAGGAATGGGGAAATCTAAAGCAAACGCTGTGGCAGCAGAAACCCCAATTAGCACTTCAGTGGTCTTAGATACTTGACGTCCACCAATCGCTTGGGGGGGCGGAATCACATGCCCCCCCCCAAATTAAAACAACAAAGAAGTATGTTAAGTAAAAAGTAAAGGGACCTATGCAACTCCCACGCCCCAAGAAAAACCATTGTAACTATGTGATTTCTTTCAGACTTCTTTGTTCTATTCACATTCGAATACAATCTCCCCCCAACACACACACACAACCCCCTACACATATTTATGTTTATAACAAACATGAAACTATATTATTTTGAATGTTACTCAATTTTCTTTTCCTTTTTCACTTACCAGTGGACCGTGGTTTTCCTGCAGAACAGGAATATAGTGAATGGTTTGCCCTACACCCACCAAATGATTAATGCTTATGTTATAATTTGAGAGAGTAAACTCTGTACACAGACTGTCTGGGTTTGAAACACAGTTCCACTACTTGCCAGCATTGTGACACTGGAGAAGTCACTTATTTGTGTCTCAGTTTCCTCACCTGTAATTGGAGATGGTAATAGTACCATCCTCAAAGGGAGACTGTAAGG